TATACCTCCCAATTGAGAGGCTACAAATTTGTTTACTAAATCAAGGAGTTTGTCAAAATATCAACATAGTCAAAAGTCGAAAGTTTTTTTTTTAATATTTCATTTGGTAAAATTCTTCGTAAGATATTTTTCTATGAGAATTGATAAATTTTGTTTCTAAAAAAAAAATGTTAGTTAATTTTTTTGTCACTTTTGTAATTCATAAAAAATCTTGTTTAGTATAAATATTCAAAATTCACCTTCGTAAAGAGAATGCTGCCAATATTTTTGTGAAATCATGAGGTTAGTCAAAATTATGACAATTTAAAAAAAATATTTTGAAATTTAAAAATATCGTGAGTTCACTTACTTTAAGAAAGTGTTGCCAATTTTTTTACTATGTCAAATAAGTCGGTTAGATTTGTATTTAAAATTTTAATCATGACTATTCATAATCTAGTTTATAAAAAATATTATGAAGTTATTTTTCTATAAGAAATGATGCCTCTAACCATGCAAAATGAAGAGCAATAACCTATTTTATAGGTAGGTTTTAAATATGTTAATATAGTATACCTTTACTGCTATAAAAACTTTATACAAAATTGAGTAAGTTAGATTTAAATAGTAATTTATTTTTTAATTTTGAAGGACTCTTATTTATAGATTCAACTTAGTTAAAATTTTATAAACTCCCCCTTATAAACTGTAAAATATATTTGGGCAGGTTAAAAAATAAAATTAGACTGTGAGATGAAAAACCTCTTCGTTGATTTTCGATATAAATTTTGGGTTTTCGTTTTTACCTTTATTGTGACACAAATCAAACGAGGTATTTCAAATGGGTTCCTTTAGTACTTACACTTATTATATTATTTGATAACAAGTTGGTTTATGAGTCAACCTTTCTTACATTAACATTTACGCTCAAAACCGAACTATATAGGCAAAAAATATTTCCCTGGGTTTTCACCTAATACTTAAACCACCACTCCCCCGACACCCAAAAATTGCCTTTCTGGGATAATCGGAGGCTGGTAACCCGGAAGGAGCGGAGGTCGGTGACAATTCGAGCGGAGGTCGACCTAAAAAAAAAAAATAAAGCAAACTTTGATGATTTTTCACGCTCAGATTAATAAACCAAAACATCTGAAATTATGGGATCCGGTATATTTGGTCGTGATCTGTTCATGAAAATTATTAAAAAACGAAGAAAAATATTTTTAACAGTGAAATACGAACCACGCCGATTCAATGCATTTTTCGTTCTTACAACTCTGGCACCTGCAGACCAACGGAAAAGTACTCCGTTTTTGCCACTCTGCCACCTGCGGGCCACTCTACTGGTTCGCCACACTATGATACCGGTAACCCTCATTGACTTGGGTTACCCATCCCCCAAATTTTTTTTGTCGCGGGCAGAGTGGTGGTTTAAGCAGTCAGACTGAAAGGGTATGAGCTTAAGGACAAGTTAAGAAATTTTAAGATGTGAGTGGTTTGTATGAGGAGTGAAAAATAACGAACAAGTAGTTGACCTCGTTAGTTCATTGTATTTGTATTTGAATATATTTGCAAATCTGTTTTTTAAATATTTTATGTTTTACTGGACAAAAGCGGACACATAAAAGGTTTTATTCGATTGATCATACTTGTCAAAGTGACAGAGCAACCGTCATAGGTATGCCAATAACCCACCGGCGATGCATATATATAAATGCATGGACATTGTTGACACATGATATACGAATTTGTTAATAGTTAGGTCAGTTTCCTGGTCGAATGAGCTAAAAAACCTTTCATTCCTCGTTTTAGGTCGATGCGACGTTTAAAAGATATTATATATAATATTTTTGCTTTTAAATTATTGGTTTGACGGGTGACCATGACATGGATAAAAGTTTTTGTCCAACATAGTGCTAAGGACACTTTACCTGCACGCATTCACAATACCTACCCATTGGATAAGACACTGCGAAACTTGAATGACTTATCTTTCAACCGTTTTATGTCATAGGAACTAAGCCCCGAATTACATTTTCCAGTTGACACCTGAGTGTCGTATATAGCTTCTTAAACCACAGAGGATCGTATGCATATTGGTTGGTACGTAAAACGTCCCCATAAAAGTACATTGTTAAGTTATACATTTTTCAACTTTATGAGTTAGTCTGCGCACTTGCGACTTATATAGTTGCGATCTTTACGAGAGTCGTTGCCAATCGACATACAAAAGGTTATGAAATTAAATATGCATATGTTTAGGTACATGGAGGTTTAAGTATCACAAGCGTGGAAGTATGTCACAGAGTGCCGATTTGATTCACAAACCAGTTTGAGAAATCAGAATGCCTGATACATTCATAAGTTTTCCATACTGCGGGTATACCTATGTTGACGAGAAAACACCCTGGACATGTCTACCTTTGCGTTTGCAAGTAAATGCCTTTGTATGTGGATCTGTAGCTCAACAGTTATACACATACATAACAATTGTGATAAGTTTTATGGTAGAGGTATGTTGTACTTTGCGACACCCTATCCTATTGTACGGTCGCAGTAAGAGATTAAACTCGCACACCCGAACAGATTGGTATGTTGTTGTGGTCTTGCATGACACTGTAGGGAGGGTCCCTTGTACGTGGTACAAAGTCAATGAGCTCGACAATGTTGCCTGCTCTTTTGAGTGTGTAAAATAAAGATGAATCTTTTTGCGTTCTTTTGAAAGATTCATTGATATTTTCCACACGAGACAGTAGCAGATCGTGTGCGGTACCCTCTAAATGTGCAAAACGATAATGAATCTTCTAGCGTTCTCGCGGAGGATTTGTTCTCATGGTGTACATAAGGTAGTACCTTATACGGACGGAGAGAGAGAGAGAGAGAGAGAGAGAGAGAGAGAGAGAGAGAGAGAGAGAGAGAGAGAGAGAGAGAGAGAGAGAGAGAGAGAAAAAAAAAAAAA